CTACCTGGGACTGGAAGTCAGCAAGACCAGCACTGTGAAGGAGGTGGCCTTCATCAAGTTCCCTCCTGATGACATCTGGCCTGGACAACTGGATTCTGAGAGTGTGTGCTGGGAGGTCCAGCGCTGAGGACACTCAGATAATGTCTGAGGGAATGCGCTCTGAGGCCCAGAGCACTCTGGACGGTTGGTGCCGCTGCCCCTGACCTGCCCTGTTCTGCAGCAGCTTTCTACAAACTGCACCCCTCGTGTCTGCCACTCAGCACGGCCTTCAGCAGTTCAATGAGGCGGCCAGTGCTGTCTCAAACAGGCTCTGCAGGAACGACTGTCCCCATAGGCTGTGAGGGTCTGAGTGCGGCCCGGCCTGGCTGGGCTGAGCGGACTCGCTGGGCCAGGGGCGTGAAACATGCTTCCAGCTTGCGGTGCTTCAGCTAGCGGCATGCTCCAGGGGATGGGACTGCCGTGAGTCCAGAGCATCTGTGTCTAAGAGAGTCCGAGATCAGGTCTGCACCTCCCGACACCCCTCACCAACACAGGGCGCAGCCATGGGTTCTCAGGAGGAAATCAGCCAACTCCATGCCGGTCTGGATGCCCACGCTCTTACCTGGAATGTGATTCCAGAGTCCTCCAGACACAGGGCCTCCTGGCCACTCTGCCTCGGGTCACAGCCTCTTCTCCGGACACCACTTCCCTGGGCCAACTTGTTCCTCCAGACCCTGTGGAGACCTCTCTCCCACTGCCTCTGGACCCAGGTGTGGGTTGGTGTGCTGGGAAGGGGGGCCCCGGGGGCCAATCAGTGCTGAGGGTGTTCCCAAGGACAGGAGCCAGGGGCTGCAGATGTGGGTAGAGCTAGCTCCAAATAGCGTCTCCCCCGGGGGCTCAGCACGTAGGTGTTCCCTGAGCAAACTGCTTCTGTGATGACCTGCTTTCCCCTTTGTCCCCAGGAACTACGGCGTAGAAGAACCTCAGCTGTCAACCTGGTTTAAACCCAAGTAAGAACAAACATGTCCCTTTATGAAAACAGCCTGTCTCACTTGAAGGGACGGGTTCCTTCCTCCAATCCCCATGTTGTAGCGCCCTGGGTCCAGAGTGGTGCGCTGGTCTTTGAGGCTCTGGTGGGTACCCAGGTTCTGCTCACCAAGCCCCAGCATCAAGGTGAGGAGAGAGTGGACGCACTCTGTCCACTGGGCTCCGAGGTCCTGGCTTATCCGGGGGTGGCCAAGCTATGTGCAGCCAACCCAGGCCCCTTCACTCACGGACACTAGTGCTCAGAAGAGGGGACTCCCAGGCGGCCATGTGTGCCCACAGGTGCACAGTTCAGACGGACGGCAGGGCCTAGCCCACTGTCCCAGCTCAGGATTTGTTCCTGGAGATCAGGAAGTAGTTGGCTTCAACAGTCCCCGTCATGTCCCTGTGACAGAGGTGTGTCTGGTCCTTTAATATCAGTGACTTTTAGGTCAGAAGAGCGATAAGGGGGTGGGGGACAGGCTGAGTCTCGAGGGTCTGTTCAGGTTTCCCTGCTCACACCTGGAGGCACGATGCCAATGGTGGTGCTGCCCCGGGGGACCCCCTGGGGCCTTGTCCTGGTGGCTGCTGTGCCTCCTCTGGGGCTGGCCGAACGATTGAGCCGGACCCTGGGGCTCTGGGTAGCTCACAGGTGGGGGAGGTCCTCATAGTGGGTCAGTGGCTGACCGGTTCTTCCTTTTTGTTCACGATGATGTGTATTATTTGTGGGATAAATTTCTGAAATGGGGTTCTTAGATCAAAGGTCATAGACATCAGAACATTCGATGTAAAGGTAAAGTTGCTAATCGTCCCCTTTCATCTTCGTATTTACAGTGGATAAACTCACGTCTCATCCACTCTTACAGGTGGCAGAACTGCTTATTGAGCCCCTCAACTCAGTCTGCACTCCCGGGACTGTTGCGGGGTTTGAGGGCCTCTTTGTGTTTGGCTGGTCTCTTGTGCGTCCCTCTCTCACCTGGGTCTTTTAGGGGACCCCGGGTGGGCAGAGTGGGTTCAGGACAGCCTGCGCAGGTGTCTTGCACAGAGCCCACTCAGGCTGCCTGTCGGTCTGCTGGCTCTTTGAGACAGGGCTGCAGCCTTTCACGCCCCTGGCTGGGCATCTGTCCTTCCCCACCCTGCCTGTCTGTCCGTGTCCACCTCTGCAACACTCACTGGCCCAACTCCCGTCGCTGACCGTGTGGTCCTGGTGGGTTGACCTCCACTCTCCTTTCCCTATCATTTTATCTCACCTGTATGTGTTCTGAAGCATCCACATTTGAATCTTGGTCATAGCTTTTCAAAGGGGACCGTGCGTGTTGGTGGTCTTCTGGGTCTACCCCTTCCTTGGTGCCATGGGGCCAGGATTCACCCAAATTTTGCACATTGTTGCAGTTCTTTTTGACATCTGTGTAGTAGTCTGGCGTGGAAATGCCCCAGCAGATCCACCCTCTGTTCTGCTCCTGGGGGCTCGAATTGCTTTGCTCTTGGGATCTGTGCTGCCGTGAGCGTTGGCGTGCAGTGCCTCCTGGTCGAGAGCCTGGTGCGTTGTAACACTGTGGTAACAGATGTGAATGTCCCACCTAGGGCGCAGGGCATGGTACTTGATGTACTCTGGCTGCTTTAACAGAGTACCATTGACAGGGTGGCTTTAACAATAGCAAGTTGTCACAGTTCTGCAGGCTGAGTCCTGGGGAGCAGCACGGTCAGGTTCTGGTGAGGGCCCCCCGAGCATGCCCAACCCAGAACTTTTCAAAACCCCTCTGAGAACTCTTCCCACAGCTTTTCCTCTTAAACTCTTTGCTTTGTCCGCGCCGATTGCTACGGGCACAGGGTTGGTCTTGGGCTTTTGATGTGGGGTTTACATTAATTTTCAAATTTTGAGCCAGCCTGGCACATCTGAAATCCTGTTGTCATTTCTTCGTTATGGAAATCTAACCGTCTCCCCCGTTTCTGACTTGCCTTCCGACCTCACTGGCCCCTCGGCTGGCTTGGAGCAGGCGTGAGGATGTCCACTGGGCACGGGGGCGAGGCGGGGGCAGAGGCACGGTGCAGGAGGCTGCGGGCCCACTGTGAGCTGGCTTCGGTCTGTAATGGAGGGTTCTTGGTTGGGCTGCTTTTCCCCTCCAACTGCCCTTCTGCCACCAGAGCTGGAGGAAGTGGCCTCTGGACCTGGGAGGCAGGTGGGGGCTGAGGAGAGCTCGAGGCAGACACTGGCCCAGCAGTGTGAGCCTCGTGTTGACCGTCACCCTGGGGTGACGCACTTGACCTCTGTGGGCTCTGCACATGCTGGCAGGCAGGACACCCGTGCACGCCTCGGAGGGTCCTGCCAGGGCCAGGCCCTGTCTAGTGCCTAGGAGGGGCTGCATCAGCGGCCACCAGCCAGCATGGTGGCCCTGCCTAATTGTTCTGTGTATTGCCCAGGAAACGCTCGGACGTCACCACCACCACCGACTGGCTGGCCCCCATCTTGTGGGAAGGCACCTTCAGCACACAGGCCCTGGAGAAGTTCTACAGGAAGCGGAACCTCACCGTGGGCCTGGCTGTCTTTGCTAGAGGCAGGTAGGTGCCACCAACCTGTGCCCTTCTTGGGAAAAACTGAGGACACGCATCATGGACGTTCTGCCCCAGAGGGCAGCTTGTCCTTGCCATGCTGCTGCTTCCAGCCGACCTGTACAAGAACTTTGCTGTGGTCACTTTTCCACCTTGGCTGGGTCCGAGGGTCCACTTGGGAGGCCTTTGGCTAGCGTCCACTTAGCTCTGGCTCAGTGGTTCCAAAATTCCAAGGCACGTCAGCCCCGGGGCTCACTACTTCCTGGCCCTCTGACTGACCCAGTGGAGCTGCAGCCCCGCCTTCTCTCCCGGGGGATGATGGGCTCTTTGGCATCAGGCGGCCTTTGGTGGCCTCTGTTCCCCAGAGAACAAGATCTGACCTGTAGTGGGAAGGGACACAGGCTTCTTGCTCCGTGTGTCCCAGGTTTGCTGATGAGTACCTGGAGCTGTTCTTGCAGTCGGCCAACAAGTACTTCATGCCCGGCCACAGGGTGGTCTTCTACATCATGACCAACAACTACGTCAAGCGGCCCAGCATGGAGCTCCGTCCACTCTGCACCTTCCAGTTGCTTCTGATGGAGGAGGAGCAGTGGTGGTCGGACATCGACCTCATTCGCATGAAGGTCCTGGGGGAGCACATCGTGGCGCACATCCTGGAGGAGGCCGACTTCCTCTTCAGCATGACGGCCGACCTGATCTTCCAGGACGACTTTGGGGTGGAGACGCTGGGCACCTCCGTGGCGCAGCTCCATGCCTGGTGGTACTTCAGGAACACCCGGAATTACCCTTACGAGAGGCGGCCTCAGTCCTCGGCCTACATCCCTTTCGGACAGGGAGACTTCTTCTACAGCGGCTCCATCATTGGGGGCACACCCCAGAGAGTCCTGGACTTCATCAGGGACTACATGGAGGGCGTCATCCACGACCTGAAAATCGGGCTCAACAGCACCTTCGAAAGGCACCTCAACAAGTTCTTCTTCCTCCACAAGCCCACCAAGCTGCTGTCCCCCGAATACGGCTGGGACCCCACGTTCAACGCCCCGCCCCAGATCCACTACGTCAAGGTGGCGCTGCACCCCGAGAGGAGCTGAGGGGGCTCCATGCCCTCAGGACAGGAGGGAGTCCCCGCGGTCACACTCGCAGGACGCCAAACCTCCCCATTTATAGATTCAAAACGTACCCCCCTCCAGAGGGCTCTTCCTCCTCACGATTGCGACTCCTCTGACTCGGTTGATCTGGGATGAAGAGTGAGGGTGTGCTGAGTGTTCGTTCACGGAGGCTGCCGTCTGGTGGTGTGGACAACGTGAACATGCTTTTGACACAGAACGATTTTATTTTCTTTTAATGAAGGAACACTCCAGTTCAGAAAAAGTCTGTTTGCAAATCAGAAAAGTGTTATTAAATAAACGTAAAAAAAAATCTGTTTATTCTCCCAGCATGTGGCACGAGCTTGGTGTTGGATGCAGGAAGGTCGTGGCCAGTCTGTCCTGCAGGTGAAGGTCCTAGGTGGCTGGAGGCGGGCTCTCTGGCAACACAGAGAGGTGGTAAGCCGCGGGTTTAAAGCTGGCCCTTTGCCTCTGTTCCTGAGGAGCTGTTTGCTGACTACCTGCTTAAGCCTCTCGGTCAGAGGTGGCCAGGATGGTAGTGTCCTCGGCAGCCCGGAGGGTTTTAAGGAGATGAGCCCTGCAGGCTCAGGGGGCCACTGCTCTCTGGCAGGCTTTGGGCCCCTACGCAGGGGTGCACCCTGAGTGCTACGGGCTGAGGAGTGGTCCCCTTGCCTCTCATTTTGGAAGCCTGAGCCCTGGTTTCTGAGAACATGACGGGGCATTTACAGAGGTCATTAGGTCAAGATGAAGCCCATAGGGTGGACCCGACTCCAGTGCAACAGGAGTGAGCTCATCAGAAGAGGAAATCAGGACTGGGACCCATGCAGACGGATGACCAGTGAGGCCCAGCCCAGGAGAGGCCTTGGAGGGGCAACCTGCGGCTCCAGGCCCTGGACTTGAGCCTCCAGTGCTGGGAGGGGGCCTCCCGCCCACCTTTGCCCAGGTGCCTGGCAGCCTAGTGAACCGGGGGGGTGTTCTGGAGCTGGCGGTGACCGTGCTGCTGACACCGCAGGGCAGATGAGGGCCGAGCGCTGTGGCTGGAGGAGCTGCGGCCTTCAGGGTCAGACCCGGGGCTGTAACCCGCGGTCACTCCTGTCTCCTCCCTGCCCGGCCCTCTGGCACTCCAGGGCCAGGCTTGGCTCCGCTCAGCCGTCTGCTCTGAGTGATTTCCCCCTTGCATTCAGTGTCTCCACAGATGCCAGGAGTGAGGAGGGAGAAGGACCCTGGCCACAGCCCTGTCCAGGGCCGTCTGTCGCTGCCCTGGGTCTGACCTGGCAGGCAGGGGGACTGCCCTGAGCAGGGGCTCTGCCAAGGTGGCGTCGAGGCAGGGAGGGTTATGGAGAGGAGCTCAAAATGCCCACGTACAAGCAGCGGAGCCAGCATCAAGGCAGACCAAGCCCTTGGTTCACCTGGGGACAGAGGTCAGCTGGCCAGTGGGTGGGCTTCTGGGGCCACGCTCAGGTCTGCTGAGGAGTCCAGGGAGGCCTGCCAAGCCCTGTTCTTACTCGAGGGCCGCCCTTCCCGCACAGTGGGCATCACTGAATCTGTCTAGAAATGTCCCTGTCTTATTTGGTGGACAATGAGGTGTCTTCTGCTGGGTGACTCAGAGCCCGGCCCCCTCTCTTCACATTGCACTCGGCAGCTCTGGGTTCCGCGAGTGTGCAGATAGCCCCGTTTGGGGTCTTTTGCTCATTTTTCGAACTCCCATTTGAATCAGGGAGTAGCTTTGATATATATTTATCTGTGTGATGGGAATTCATTGTCAATTTCGTGGCAAATATTAGTGACACTTTTTTTGTATTTCAGTTCTGCAGGTGATAACTGATATGCGGGGATCCAAAGGCTCCGTAGGTCCCTCTTTTCCCTTGGGGTTTCTTTCTGTCCTACCTGTTGGCACCTCGGTCCCCAAGTATAGGGAGGACAGAAATTTCTAGGTTTCTTCTTTTAAAGAATGGGTCAGGAGTTGAGTTAACCTCTGCCCTTCCTGTGCCCCCAGAGGTCTCCCTGCTGCCGTCAGCTCCTTTATTCAATGCAGGTGCCATTAGGGTGGGCCATTTTGTCACCCGTGCTGTAGGGACGTGTGTTTGTCTGCTGACCTTGGGCCTCGCCGTCTTTCTTCCTGCCCTACGCTCCTGCCACGTGACTTCCCCCTGTGGTTACGTCCCAGAGGCAGACCATTTCGATGCTTTTCTTTTTAAACATTTCTAAACTTGTATTCTTTCATGTAAATTTTAGATCTGGGTTTTTTTTCGGGCAAACGTCCCCCTGGAGCGCCACCTCGGTGGCTGGCATGTGGAGGCCAACTTGAGCTGGGGGACCTGTAGGACCCCGAGGAGCGTGGGCATTTATTCTGTTGACCCTGTTGGGCGGTGCGCCTGCTGAGTACGCCTCTGTCACCCAGCCGCACCCCAGCCCCGGGCGTCTCTCTGAGTCCAGAATAAGGATATCTTTATTTCCACAGAAAGTCTGCACCTTCTTGGGTTATCACATTTCCAGGGCTGCTGGTTATGGGGAAGCGGCTCTGTTCTGTCGGTCCATTTTGTCACCGTGTCACCAGCTTTTGAGTCACCCCTGGCAAAACCCTCCTCGTGGTGGTTCAGTGTTTTAGGTCATGCTTATTTCACTCTGGTGGAGCGTGGGGACAGCTGGCCAGGCGGGGCTCCTGGTAGGCTTTGCAGAGGTGTCTTCTGGGCTGGGCACCTGCCAGGCCTGTCTAGGTGGGTGTCAAGGACTCTGACCTGGTTTCCCCGGAGCCTGCCCAGCTGGAGCAGAGGTGGGCACGCACTGTAGGGCCCTTGGCTCTGAGCCGGGCGTCCACTGCCTCAGTGACCCATCCGCACATCCCCTGGCAGCCCCAGCTGGCTCCCAGGGGGGAGTGTGGTTAGAGTCGTGGTCACTCTCCAGAGTGGCCCAGGGCAGACCCAGGTGGGCCAGGTCAGGGGCAGGAGCGCCTGAGATGAACCTCCTGGGGTTGCCTTGTGACGCACACCACGGGGTGACACTGCCAGCCTGGGCCGGCGTGAGGACCTTGGCAATCTGCTCCTTCAGGTGTTTCTGCGGAGGTGGGGACGTGGGGCCACACGCCCCTCCCACTCTTTCAGGTGCAGGCCAGGCTGGGAGATGCTATGGGTCCCTATGTGGTCAGTTGGCAGGTGGCCCTGTGACCCACAGGGAGGGGGGAGAGGACAGACTGCAGGGGCTTCAGGCTCTTGGGCAAGTCCCTGGCCAGAAGACAGGGGAGCTGGGGTCAGTGCAGAGGGATGGAGGCCCAGGCAGGAAGGCTCAGGGAGTGGACTCCCCTGGGCCTGGGCTGGGGCACTGTCCTGTGGAGGGACAGAGAAAAAGGCCTTCATTTGGTCACTCTGAAATTGCTCAGGTAATGAACCAATCACAGGACCGGCCTCTTGTCCCCCGCTCCCACCCCCACCGGCCGTGCCTCCCCTCCCGTGTGGCCCGTGGACTGAGTGAGACCCGACAGGTGAAGCACCTGCCCGCGTCAGCTGTGGTCTTCAGCTGTTGTGGTGAGGGGGGCTGCGGCCAGGCAGTGGCTGGGAGGAGCTGGATGCCGCTTACCGGCCACATTGAAGACCGGGGCGCTCTGCAGGCGGAATTTCTCCACGTACTCCCAGTACTTCCCCAGCCACGCGGGGTCCTCGAGCATTCTTCTCGCTGAAATCACAGGGCTGTGGTCAGGGCCAAGGCCCAGGGCCGCATCTTCTCCATGCCCTCCTCTGGGGTGAACAACAGGGAGGCTGAGCCTGGGCGGCGGGTGCAAGCCCTGGGCCTCAGCCCTCTGATGCTGCAGCTGAGATGCAGGGCACACACTGGGGCTGGTCCACTGTGGGGCCGCCTGCCCTGCCTCCACCAGGCCCGGCCTGTCCCCTTCCCTGGACTGTTGCAGTGGCCCCTGCCCTGAATCCCCTGAAAGCAGCCCAGGGCAGAGCCGCCCAGGGCTCCTTGAAGGAGTGGGCCCGATGCAGACCCCAGAGGGCCTCCCGCTTCCCCTCTGGTGATCTGGGCGACATGCTGGCCAGCATTGGAGAGAGCCGGCCACTTACCCAGCAGTGCCCATAGGCTGGTAACCTCGACGTCCTCAAAGCGTACGTAAAGAATGAGGTTGCTGTAGTCGGAGCTGACGAAGCAGATGTGCATGCTGCCCCCCGCGACTGGGGACCCCAGGCAGCTGAGGCACCACACCTCTCCTCCTCCCCGGCCCCCGGCCCCTCCCACGGGCAGCACAGGGCCGGCTCCAGAGGACGCCCCGCTTCCTTTCAGCTCGCGCTCTTCCCCACCCCCCAAAGCCCACAGCCTCCTGGTGTCAGGGCAGAATGGAGCGTCGGGGGCCCTGCTCACCCCTCCCCACTCAGTGAGGGCCAGACCCCAGGCTGGGTACTCACAGGAGCCTTGGTACTGGCCTGGCAGCCCAGCTGGGTGGAGGGTGACGTTCATTCCTCTACACACCCCTTCTCCCCTGGGAAAAAACGTCACCCTCTTATGGCTCCCAGTTACCTGTCTCAGGGGGACATTGGGGAGCCCTGTGCTGGGAGTGCTGGTGTCCCCATGCTCTTGGCCCCTTGGGCTTGGGGCAGTCTGGCACTGGTACCTGCATCAGGGTCAGGCATCTGGGGGAGGAGGATGGGGCCACGGTGCCCAGAGTGGAGCTGAGGGGCCCTGGGCAAGAGTGAGGGAGTGGGGTGGCCTGTTGCTGGGCGGACCCAAGCTTCCTGAAGGGGTTGGACTCATTAGCCCCAGGTTCTGAGCTCTGGGTCTTGGGGTCAGGGACCTGTCTGCGCTGTTCCTGTTTGTCCAGCTCCGTGTGTGGACAAGCCCCACCCCCTCGGCCCTTGCCCCAGGGGCTCCAGATCCGCGGGCAGGGTCAGGGCATGTGCTTATGGACCCGTGTCCCCCGGGCCACCGTGCGTCTGTGTCTAGAACAGGCCATCAGCTAGACAGTGGTCTTTTCTCCTAGGCTGGGTGCAGGCTGGCACAGTCCTCGTGGGGTTAGTGCTGAGCAGAAGTGGCCCTGGGCAGTGCTCCTCCGTGAGGCTTCTTGGGAATAATTAGCCACTTCACTTATTCATTGATAATTAATATTTGAGACAGTCTCAGCTGGTTCAGGCTGACCTTGAACTGCCAGCTCCTGCCTCAGCCTCTGCAGTGGCAGGGATTCCAGGCATGTGCCATGTGCCGGGCAAGTCGGCTGCTTCAGATGGCTGGAGACAGAGGTCTGCCCCCTGGGCTAGCGACGGTCTCCAGGCTGGAGCTGAACATCACAGCCGGCTATGCCCTGGGCCCAACTGCCGCTATGCCCTGGGCCCAACTGCCGGGCCTGGCCATGGCCTGGGCCTACGGGTTTAGGGGTCTGTCCCTCCTGCTGGCCCCTCTCTTGGAGTGTGAGGGCTTGCCCCTCTCAGGGAAGGGACCCCAGCCCAGCTCACTGTCATGTGTCTCCCTGGTTTGGGCCTCTGGTGCTGTCCTTGGGGGCCTGGGCCTGAGAAGGAAGATGTAGGGCCCACGCTTACATCCAGAACAGCACCAGTGCCAGGTCCCCACCCTCTCTGGTCCAGATGGAGTGGAGAGCAAGCCTCAGCGGGTCAGTTGGCAAGACCAGGTCTGTGTGGCTGGTGGCCAGCTGCATGGTGAACCAGCGTCCCTCCATCTGTGGGAATGTGGGCACAGGGACAGGCAAGGCTGGCTAGTCCCCTGTCCAGGATCAGTTTAGCCTGGCCAGCAGGTGGGCAGGGACTCCCAGGGCGGGTATTGGCCACGGTTCCACTGGGGGCATGTTGGTGGACTTCCTCGGGGTCAAGTGTGGTTTCCCTTCTTGAAAACATTTAGCTTGCTCTTGACTCTCAGGCGCTCTGCCTCTCTGACCTGATTCCTGACTCCTGCTGCTCCCTTCCACGTCCACTCCCAAGTCTGACCCAAGCTGTCTCCTCTGCGAGTCCAGGGAGGGCAGGCAGGAGAAGGGTCTGTCCTGCAGCTGCTCTGACTGCCCCTCCTAGCCTGGATCCTGAGTTCCCACGCCTGACTGTGGGTGCTGAGACCCCAGAATGGGTGGGCAGGGACAGACAAGGACTCTCTCTGCTCCCTGGTGTCATCCAGTGGGGGACTCCTCAACCCAGCAGGCTGTGGGGACCTCTCTTGGCTTCTGTCTCTTGGGAGAAGACAGGAAGACCTTGAGGTTCATGCTCCTGGGTCCACCAGAGCTCCTGCAGCACAGGCTGGGCCGAACCCCAACCCCTGCCTCTGGCCTGAGCACCTCCTCGATGTGACGCTGTCCAGTCCCTGTCCTGGTACCGTCTGAGGGCTGGGCCCACGATACCTACCTTTTGTGCGTCAAAGCCGGGCTGCACTGGCACCTCTTCCAGAGTCCCCTGGGTGCTGGCCAGGCCCAGGCCGAGAGCCAGCAGCAGCAGCCCTCTCTCCAGCATCCTGGTGCCAGGTCCTGGGAGCCGCTCTGGCAAACTCCCCTGCTCTGCGAACGTCCTCCAGCAGCCACTTGTCCCCAACAGCTGCCTCACCAGCTCTGGGTCCTCCCAGCCCTGAGCATCCCAGTCCTCCCCCAGGACTGACGCAGCCTCCTAGCCCCCACCCGCCTGTGTCTGGGATGTGAGGATGTGGCCTGGTTGTCAGGCCAGCCTAGCCACCTGCGGGCCTGCCCTGGGAACCTGGGGGTGGGCCTCCTGCCCAGGGAGGCCGAGGAGGACACGGGAGGATAAGACGTGTCTGCCTCGCCCACAGGCCCAGCTCCTCCTCCCAGGCCTGTGAGCAGGCCTGCAAGGACCACTCGTGTCCCCACTCACCTGCACCCACTTAGTTCCTGCCTGTGGGGGGATTGAAGGGGGTGGCACAGAAGGCCCTCAGATGGCACTGGGCCTGGGCACCAAGCCAGGGCTGGTGCTTATTTGTTCTGTTATGAACACTATGAATCAGCCGCCTCTCTCCACCCCAAGCCACCCCGCACCGTGTGTCCAGGATGGTGTGGGCTGCCCACTTTCGGGGGTCCACCTTTGCCTTAAGGATTCCGTGCCTACCCCCTGGCCCAGCCCTCCCCACCTTGTGCAACTGCAGAGATGCCAGCTGGTCTCCGAATGTGACGCCTGCCTCTGCACCCCACCTTCTGCCGGCCCTTCTCACCTCGTCTCCAAGCCCTGCCCTTCTGCGGGCCTGGCCTGGCCAGGAGCTGAGCTCAGAACTGACCCCACCCCCCGCACCCCAGCCTGGAGAGCTGCCCCAACAGGATCCAGTTCCACATTCTGGAATCTGGTGCAGAAGTGGCAGGTCCAGGGTCACCAGAGGCCCAGGCTCCCCTGCGGCAGAAAGTTGGCTCTGGGAGTGACCGACCCTGTGTGGGTCTCGAGGGTGGAGTTGGCTGACTTGTGCCAGGCACCTGCCCAGCACCTGTCCTGGGAGTTGGGGTAAAGTGAACTTCCCACCAGCTTTGGTGTGGCATGAAGCCGTCACCTGCTGGGGAGGGTCGGAAGCCCCAGCCAGAGCAGGCCTGGTCTGACCAGCAGGGCCCTCCTGGGGCTTTCTGTGAGGCAGAAACTGGGCCCTCTGGGGCGGGGACAGCCCCCTGAGGTCGGCCTTGGCTTGGGGCCGGGCTGGCAGATGGGGTGGCCTCCCACTCCTGGCCACAGACACGTTTGGCTCAGGCCTTGGGAGCTGGACGAGGACCCGGCAGGGCCTGCCTCCCACAGCCGGAGACAGCGCCCGAGTGGCAGACCCCCACCTGCCCTGTGGGCTGAGCGGGCTGTGCTCGAGGGCCCCTGGTGAGTGGCCCGCAGCTCTCTGCATCCTGACCATGCTTCCCAGGCCCAGGGAGCGTCCCCCTGTACCGGCCACTCTGGGAGGCCCTGGAGGGACTTGGTGGGGTGGAGCAATCTGCCCCCTCCCTCGCTCCTCTGGCCAGTGACACGCAGCCTAAGTTATGCCGGCTCCGGCTCAGGAGGACAGATGCAGACGGGGGTGGGGGACTCCTTTGGGTCTGAATGGGATCACCAGGGCCTGGGGGGCCTGGCACACCCTGTGGCCCCTCCAAACCCAGCTGCTGCCCTTGGTGTGGGATTCTGCCTCTGGGAACCCTGCCTGTGCCCCAGGGGTTGTTTCCAGGGATGGAGAAGCTCTGCTCTCCACCACACCTCCCTCTGCCCAGGGAGGTCCCTCCTCTGAGCAGAAAAGAGCCCGGGTGGCCTCTGGGCACAAGAAGCCCCAGAGCAGATGCAGGACTGGTTTATTGTACGGGGGAAGGGCGCAGGTCAGGAGGCATCCAGATTCGGGGCCACAGGAAACGCTGGCTCTGGGCTGCACACAAGGAGCCCTGGAAAGCCAGAAGCTTTGCTGCTGATCTCCGGCCCAGCAGGTCACCCCCGCCCCGCCCACGTGCTAGGCCTCTGCATGGCCCTGCAGCCTCGTTCCCCAGGCCCTGCATACCCCGTGGCTGAGCAAGAAGGCAAGCTCCTGCATCCCTGGAGCCTCACGGGCCTCTGTCTCGAGCCCCCTACACTAGGCCAGGCCTCCAGGTCACAGGCGCTGAGCCTCCTGTCCCTGGTCTTGAGTGGTGATTCCTCGGTATCCCCCCAATCCTCGAGCCTCTGAGACAGCCTCAACGTTGGCCTGGGAGCCTGCCTAACAAGCCAGAAGGCAGGGTGTGGGGAGGCATCCTGCCCTGGGTGCAGGGGAGGACCCAGGGGGGCCCTGGAGGGATGAGGGGCTGACTGCTCGGCAGAGCTCTAAGGGGCACCAGGATGCAGGGAGCACTGGGCCAAGCACAGGATGAGCCAGGGAGTGGCCGGGAGTGTGTGTGTGTGTGCACGCTCACTGTGGTGTGTGTGCACCATGGTGTGTGTGTACAGGGGTGGGCAGGAAGGGGGTGACTGCAGATGAGGAACAGGGAGGCTGAGGCCAGGGGCGAACCTCCCTTCTCCTGGGTGGCTGGAAGCTGTGGCCCATCCTGAGATCCCAAGCTGGGCTTCTGAAGAGGGGCCCAGCTCCTCTGGGCTGGCCTAGGTCTGATGTTCTGACTCAGTCTGGGTCCCAGAACACAGCCTCTTAGCAAGCATAGCCCAGTGGACTAGGGGCTGCACTGGGCAGGGTGGTCCCCAGAGAAAGCCACCTGCCAGAACTGGTGGCAGTAAAGACAGGGGACAGGCAGGTGTCTACTCACCTAGGACCCCAGGGAGGTGCATCTTGCTGCAGACCAAAGAGGGAACAGAGGTTACTGACCCCAGATGAGGCCACCCCAGCCCATGCGGACCCCCTCCTCCTGCCCACTGCCCTCTCTGGCCCCAGGGAGGACTTCCTACGGGGGGTTTTACCCTGGCCAGCGTGTTCCGGTCCCTGTGAGAAGTGGCACCTGCCGAGGTGGCTTACCGTGAGCAGACAGTTCCACAATGTTGTCTGGCTGGATACCTCTCCTGAGCGTGTGCTTCCTGTATGCCTCCTGCCCCACCTCGTTCACCAGGAAGGTCCTGCCTGCAGTCCCCGGAGTCAAACATCCAGTCACAGCGGACTGCAACCTCCTGGAACCCTCTGGAGGCCAGCAAGGAGGGCCCTGGGGCAGCCCCTGGGGAAGGCTCCAGCCCTGAGCCCCGCTGCCCACTGCGGCCTGCCGTCCAGCCAGGACCCCAGGTCTCCTCGCCTTGTCCTGAGACATGCGCTTCTTCCGCTGTCCCAGGTGGGATGGGGCTGGCACCTACCGTGGAGCTCCACCACGATCAGAGCACCCGCTTCACGGCGGTTCTCCAGGTCCATGATGAGGAAGCCATCGCCCACAGCCACGAAGGTGAGGAAGTTTTTACCTTCGTCTGCAACAGAAACCAGGATGGCGTAAGGCCTGCTGGGTCTAGGCACCCTGCCCGCCAGCACCCGCGCCTCCCCCAAGGGCTCAGCCTGCCCATCGCTCAGCATTGACTGGCTGGCCACAGCCTAGGACCCTGCCACCCAGACCACAGACTCCGTCAAGCTCTGTGTCTCTGTGTCTGTGTCATTGTCTCAGTCTCTCTCTGGGGCAGGAGGCAGGGAGGGCAGCGCAGGGGGAAGGGGGGCCAGGACTCCCCAGTCTTGACAGAGCTGTCTATGCCTCCTGCCAGGCTCCAGCTCTGCAGATGCTAGACGCAGCCTGTCCATCAGGCACCACTCAGCTCTGCACCCTCCTCTCCAGGGGCGCAGGCTGGTACCCCGCCTCACCAACGTTCCTTTGTGCTTTGGGACCTACGTTCACGGGGGAAATGTTAGCCGCACCCCAGGGCCTGGGCAAGGAAGCACCAGAGCCGTTCTCTCCATCGTCCTCCCTCCAGCTGGAGCCTCGGGGAGCGCCCAGGAGAAGGGCCGCAGTCCATGAGGAACCCTGGCATTCCAGGGAAGAGTACGGGGCTGCCGCTCTGGGATTTTGAAACTCAGAGGGGTGGCTACCAGGCTGTGGGGGCACCTCCCCCTTCACCCACTCCCCACTTCTTCCAGAATATTCCTGGCCAGTTGCCTTTGTACCCGCTCATGGCCAACCCCTGCCAAGCCATGGGGCACTGTGACTCACACTCAAAAGTGTAGCGGCCGGGCGTGTTGGTCTTCTTCCCAATGTAGAATTCCTGCACGCACTTTCCATCTTTCCTAAAAGAAAGCAACGTCCTCCCTCCATCCCCCTCTCTCCCTCTCTCCCCCTCTCTCTCCTTTCCTCCCTCCCTCCCTCCCTCCCTCCCTCCCTCCTGTGTGCGGGGATGGAGCCCAGGGCCCCTGCACACTAGGCAAGCTCTACCGCTGAGCCACTCCCAGTCCTTACACAGCAGGTTTCCTGAGACCTGTCTGCTGGACCCGGGTCCCCCCAAGGGCACCTGGAGCAGGAGCCAGTTGCTGGCCTGGGTTTTCCCAGATAGAGCTATGGACACCATATCCCCTCCAGGAGAGTGGCCCAGAGGACCCAGCAGTGTTTGGGGGTCCTCCTGGGCGGGGTGTCGGGGGGCGGGAGGTTGAGCTGTGAGCAGCTGGGAAGCCCTGGGGAGAGGGGTTGGGATGTGGCCGGGCGGAGCCAGGATGGGAGACGGGGTCATGCCAAGGACGCAGCCCCAGCCCCAGCCCCAGCCCCTCGCCTGTGGAAGTAGGTGATGTTCAGGTCTCCGTCCTCCAGGAGTTTGATGCCAGACATGGAACACAGGTAGGAGCCTCCTTCCTCAATAACAGACGGGTCGGTGGCGCCGAGCTTGACGGTGTGCCAGGGCCCCTCCACCTGCAGGCAGCAAGGCCCTGTCCTCACCCTGGTGGTCCTGGGGAGCCTTCTTCCCTGGCTCCTGGTTGCAGCAGTGGGCAGGGGCAGGGTTGCCCCGGAGGGGTGCAGGGTGCAGACCCACCTTATCTCAGACCTCATGCTGATAGGGCTTGAGGGCTGCGACTCTGCCCCCAACCCAGCCAGGCTGGCCAGTGTAGTGTTGGCCATGGCGATGCTGACGGGTAGGCCTGGTGCCTGCACCCCAGCCCCTGGCAGAGTGGGGAGTCCTCTCACACAGAGGCCGTGGGGCCGTGCAATGGGACACAAGGGGGGAGCTCTGGCCTAAGGGTCCCGTCCCTCTTGTTCAGGCCCCAGGCTTGCAGCCCTCCTGGGCGCTGGACCTGTGATGGGC